ACCCGAAGCCGCCAAGCCTGAGCTAATGATGCTGGGGCCCGGGGGGTGGGGGGGGGGCACGTGGCAGGGTGGCGTTCATCCTCTCATTTTTGAGGGATCTCGTTCCCGAGGCACGAGGGATCTGTCCATCCATGCAACAAAGGCTTCCTGAGCAGTGAGCATCGCTGTGTGCACCTCACCTCTGCTTCACACCCTGTCTCGGTTTAATATTCAAACCGCACTGGGAGAGGTGGGCACAATTATTCCCATTGTACAGAGAAGAAAACCGAGGCCCAGGCACTCATAGTCACCCTAGGAGAAGACCTGGGTTTATCCCATAAGATCAGTGTCTGCTCATCACCATATTACAAATGGAGAAACCAAGGCACAGAGAGGAGATGTCATTTGCCTGAAGCACTCCATCAGTGGTTGGAAGAGCTAGGATTTGAACAGAGATCTCCTGACTTCAGAGGGGTCAGCCTTTAAGCACAATTAGGGAAGAGTGTAGACAGCATATGGGTCTGGGCCTTGGTTTCTCCATCTGTAACAAGGTAAGGCTTAGAGCAGAGTTTTTTCATCTGGGGTACATGGACAAGCGTCTGGGGAGAAGGCCGTGAATACCACCAAGGTGTATGCAGATGTGTATGTGTGCAGTGGGTGTGCACGATGGGTTAATATGCATGTATGATGTGTTTGTGACACGTGTGTGTGTTTACAGGTATGATGGATGTGTGTGATGCCTATGCTGCCTGTGTGCATGTGTGTGATAGAAATGTGTGTTTATGGGGAGGGACCACAGTTTTCATCGGAGGGGACTCAGAACCCTCCAAAACTCCAGGACAGTCTCTAACCCCCTTCTGCCTGGACTGATGTGCCGCAGGCAGTCCTGGGCTGGGGAGCCCCCTGCTCAGCTTGGTGGTACATTGGGGGCTTGTCCCTCAGAGACCTGCCATGGCTTATCCAGATCCAGGATCTCTGCTAGAAACACTCCAGTGGGAAGCATCTGCCAGCCCCTACTTCTGATTCCTGGGGACCGCCTCTCCTGGACTCATTAGGGCTGGATCCTAGGCTTGAGTCAGGATGCTGGAGGGTGTGCTGATATAGAGGGAGCTGATCCCTCTCTATTGAAGAGGCAGGTAGGTAATGAGAGCTGGGTTCAAACCCTGCCTCTGCTGCCTCCGCCCAAGTTAGCTCGGACAAGTCCTGCCCTTCTCCGAGCCTCAGTTTCTTTTTATAAGGAGGACAGTTGCACGTTCCTTATGCGGGTGTGGGCAGGAATGAGATATCATGGTAATGCTCTGGCACGCACTTTCCCCTGCTTCGCATGGTTCCCCCAAGGGCTCCCCACTTCCTCCAATGACATCATCACAGTGCAAACTTTGCCCCTTTGGGGGAAATGGCTCCCTCCTTCTCATATGCAATTTTTGGGCACCTACTATGTAACACCTGTCTGACGCCAAAGAAATGCAGCTTTGTGCCACTCTGGTGCCCTTGTTTTTGATACAACTAAATCAATGACTTAATCCCCTGGATGACTCATCACTCTCAAGAGGATATCTCCTGAGAGGCTCCCAGGCTCATCTTAAGCCTGGTTAAGTGGCTGGGATCAAAAAGGGCACTTTGAGGGACATGCAGCTCTTTAGGAAGGAGAAGAGCTGGGCAGTGGCTTTTGTCCAGGGGACGGCCTTCGAGGACCTATGGGTGTCTGGGACCCCCAATGGGTGCCACAGAATGAAGAGTTACCACCAAGTCTATTTGCAACACGTCCAAGATGCTCCTGTGATTAATGGCATACATATTCCTTTACCACCAAACTCATGATAGCTTCAGGCCACTGTAGAATTTCTCCCTCAAGGGACCCTCTCATTAAAAGCCGTTATCAACATTTTGATATCAGAGGGGATCCTGTCTTTGCTGAGGCTGGGATCCCTTGTTCTGGCATATTTATTTTTGACTACAGTCACACCTTGTGGTGGTGTAGCCTGATGGTTACCGAATAGGCTCAGCGCCCCCATTGGCCTAAATGTCAATTCCAGGAGCGACCACTGGGAGCTGAGTGAACTGGGACAAGACACTTTCTCTCTCTGAGCCTCGTTTCCTTGCTTGAAAAGAACAAGTCATAGAACCTTTTTAAAAGCCCTCTGGCTCAAGTCCATGGTTCTGGGAAAGTATGAAAGCTCTGGGTCCCCGTACGGGCACAGCCTGAAGCCCTCTTTGAAGTGTGCACTTTTCTGGTGGATGTTTGCCTGTTTTCTGGTCTTCTCTCCTCCCCGAGCAGAAAGGACAGGGAATACCACGGGAACCTGTGTCTTGGTCAGTTGAGGTTTCAGTGTTTGCTGAGATGGGAGGAGAGGGATTGCTGGCTTGAGGTCTCAAGGCCTGTCCCTGTGGGCGGGGCCTCCCCCCCCCAGAGGCCTGGCCCTTTCTGCTGCCAAGACCAGACCACAACCGCCAGTAACGACAGCAGCTTCCGTTCCAGAGTGCTGACTGTGTGCCAAGCGCTGTGCTAAGCATTTTGCTTGTATTGTCTCCTGTCCTCCTCTCTACCACCTGGACGGGCTGCTTCATTATCCCCAGGTGTGGGGCTTGCCCCAGGTCTATAGCTGGTGAGTGATGGTTACCCACGAGGCCACATTGCTGCCCTCTGGCTGAGCCCCGCAGGGGGACTTCTTTGGTGAAAAAATGAGAGCTCAGCTCAGATTTAGACATTGTTCAGAGAGCTGATGAGGTGAGAGAGAACACATGGACCATACAGACATGGACTCGAAGCCCCACACACACACACACACACACACACACCCACACACCCACCACCACCACCACCACCACCACCCCCTCCCAGAATAGGCCATGCGGTCTGGGAAACATAGCCCTTCTGGTGTGGATTCACTGACGCATCCACACTGGGCTAATCCAAACAGGAAACGCTGTCCTCCTCGTAGCAAACAAACCTAGGTCACAGGCTCCCTTCCCTGTGACCTCCCATTGGGCCCCCACGAAGTGCCTCTTTCCTCTGCCTGTGTCCCACACGACAGCCTCCCAGTTTGGTGTGCCCATATCAGCCCTGTTCATATACTAGTGAGTTCAGGGGCGCCACGTGATCTGTACCCACATCGTGCCCTTTCTATAGGTGAGAAAGCAGCCCGAGGCAGCTGAGGGTTGCCCAGAGCCCATGGTGGCAGCTCCCAGGAACCCAGAGACCGTGGCAGCAGCCCTAGATATCATAAAAGGGAAGGGGCCATGTAACCGTCAGTGGTCTTCAAAGCCTCTGCCCAGACAAAGGACCCGGCCAGAGGGTCTGGCCTTCCCCACGCTTCCAGGTTGAGGAACAATGCCCGCTTTCTGTGCCTTTGATCTGGAGGCCTGGCCCTGCTGCCCCTCAGTCCCAGAGCAGAGGCCACCCTGCTGGGCCAGGGCAGGGGCTCTGGGGGGACCCAGAGAGCCTGCAGCTGCCCAGCCAAGTTATTTATGCTCCATGGAGCTGCCCTTCTCACCCAGCTCATTCCTTCCTCACAGAGCTGGGACTGGGGCTGGAAGGGAGTGATGGGAGGAAGGAAGCTGTCGGAAAATCATAAATTAGGGCTCTGAGAGGGCCTTCCTGCCCCCCTCAGGAATCTTCAGGAGGAGAGGCCTGCACCTTTGGGGGCTGGGGAGGACAACAGAATAACAGGGCAGGGCACAAGAAAGCGTGGCAGGACAGGGTGCCTGTATTTGGAGTCAGGAGATGTGAACGTTCAGTGTGATCTAGAGTAAGTCCATCCTCTCCAGGGCTTCAGTTCCCCCATCTAGAAAATGAGCTGATACAAGACTTGGGGACTTTCCTGTGACTGTGCTTTGTTGCCTGTGAAGGAATGGACAAATAAGAGGCCTTCTCCTTAACATGTGACCCACTTCCCTTCCTCGGGCACCTTTCCCCAGATCCCTTCCTTTCTGCGCCACCTACCTTTCTTGGGGTACCTTGCTCTGCTTCTCTTTTCACACCTCTCCTCCTGCCAAAATGGACTAGTGAAGTCTCTTTAAGCAGCATCTACCTAGCTGGGGGATAAGGGGAGGAGCTGTTGTCCCGTTCATACTAGAGTGTTCATGACTGACCTGTTTAATGTTATTAAATGTTGAGGGCAGTTAACAGGAATTCTTCTTCATTTGAGCCTTAAGTCATTGGTAGTGAAACGTCTAGGCTGCTAAGAGGGATGCTTGGTGACCAAGGTCTAGGAACAAGGTCTGCCAAGTAAGAGGATTTTCTGTGTAGGAAGGTGTCCATCTCCAAGCCCCAGTGAGGTGAAACCCACCCTCTGCTGGACAAATCCGGTGTGATAGCCAAAAGGCTGCAGGTTAGATGGATCTGGCAGGTGTGAAAGGCGGACAGGGGAGCCACTCAGAGCAGAGACCCTGGAGCTGCCCACCAGCCCCACCAGAGTCAGGAGGTACCTGCTGGGCCATGAGCACATGGGCCTGCCCCACCTGACATCCCCAAGATGAATGGTTTCCACCTCTGAGGAAGTGATTCTGAGGGGGAAGAGGAGAACAAGAGGAGAGGAGATCAGGGAGAGACACAGAGAGAGATACTCAGAAAGAGAGAGAAAGAAAGAGAGCCAGCAGGCCACAGATAGAGTAAGAGAGATGTAGAAAGAGACAGATGGAAAGACAGAGAGATAAAGAGACAAGCAGAC